TAAATGCATATTTTGATTTTCGTGCGCTCGAAAGACTTTTTTCTTTGCGAAACGAACATTTTCTCCACAAACTCAGATCGCGCGCGTGCAAAATGCACTTTTGTGCACTCAAAATATGATCTTTCATGCGCAGAATTGTGGCAGAAATGTAAGCCCATATTAAAGCGCAATCAGGCTGCTGAACTACGCACATATACCTCCACGCAACCTGGAGGACAGGCTCTTCTTTTCTAGGGGAATTATTTAATCAGCATCCCGATGTGTTTTATTTATACGAGCCCATGTGGAATATGTGGCAGGCGCTTTATCCCGGAGATGCGGGCAGTTTACAAGGAGCAGTGAGAGACATGATGAACTCCCTGTTTAGATGTGATTTCTCAGTTTTAAAACTCTACGCAGGCTCGTCCAACGTAACCACCTCTTTTATATTCGGCTGGAAAACAAACAAGGTCATTTGCTCCGAGCCTCTCTGCAAAGCGTATAAGAAACACGAAATCGGTTTAGTTCAAGGAGACGTGTGTAGCAAATGCCGGTCCAGAGACCTCAAAGAGCTGGAGAAAGAGTGCAAAAAGTACCCGGTGATGGTCATCAAAGACGTGCGGGTTTTAGATTTGGCGGTTCTGCTTCCCCTTATGCGAGATCCCGCCATCAACCTCCAGATAGTCCAGTTGTTTCGCGACCCCCGGGCCGTGCACAATTCTCGGATGAAGTCTAAGCTAGCGTTGGTAAAGGAGAGCATACAGGTGCTGAGGAGCAAGAAGCAGAGTGACAAATACAAGCGCCTTCTGGTGCCTAGCAACAGGGTCCACCGAGCCGAGAACTACGTCTCGAGCGCGATGGAGTTAATATGCGATAACTGGCTCAACGACATGTTGCTCGTAATGAACGCTCCGCCGTGGGTGAAGAGAAACTATATGCGGCTGAAATACGAAAACCTGGTCCTCAGACCCGTGGACGAGCTCCAGAGGCTCTACCGTTTCTCCAACCTCACCCTTTCTCCGGCCATGGAGAAGTTTGCGGTGAACATGACCCACGGACGGGGCTATTCGTCGGATAAACCTTTCCTCATATCACCCAGAGATGCCAAAGAGGCTATTTACGCCTGGAGGGAAAGGCTGAATGTGGAGCAGGTGAACCAGGTTGAAGCCTACTGCAGTGAGGTCATGAGACAGCTGGGCTATCAGAAGATGAACATGGACAAGACCTAAAACCACCAAAACATGAGTTTATGGTATGTGTACGTTTCTGAATGTCAACACAATGTCAACAAGTGCGGCAAGATGTCACCTATAAACATACATAGGTTTGGTGACAGAACTTAGTGTAATAACAGCATTATTGGGCATCATGATGGACGTTTTTGAGACTTATACACAAAGTATATCCCGGCACACTTTACATTAGCTTTACAGTATTATTACAGATGTACAGAGTGTGTAAAGGGATAGTTCACCCAAAAGGGAAACACTGTTATAATTTCCTCGCCCCCAGGTTGTTCCAAACCTGTATAAGTTTCTGTCTTCTGTTGAGCACAAAAGATGATATTTCGAAGAATATTGGTAACCAAGTTGATGGTACTAATACTATGGAAGTCAATGGCGACCATAAACATTCTTCAAAATATCTTCTTTTGTGTTCAACAGAAGAAAGATAATCATACAGGTTTGGAACAACCTGAGCGTGAGTACATGAGGACAGTCTTTTCATTTTTGGATGAACTATCTGGGTGAACTAACTCCAACTGGCAAAGAAACCATGGCAAAACCCATAATAAATAACAGTAAGGTTACTGGTCAAAAGTTGGGGGTCATTAAGTTTATTATTATTAATTACTTTTATTCAACAAGAAAGAATAACTTAAATCAAAACTGACAGTAAATTCAATAATGTTACAAAATATTTATATTCCTAAACTTTGTTCATCAAAGATCCCTGAAAATATGTATTACAATATCCACAGAAATATTAAGCAGCACAACTGTTTTTAACATAAGAATATTATTTATGAATTTTATCATTTGAATTTGAAAATTCAGCTTTGCCTTCACAGGAATAAATGTCATTTTAGAATATATATATATATAAATAATAGAAAATAGTTATTTTAAATTGTAATAATATTTCAAAATAATACAGTTTTTACTGTATTTTTGATCAAATTAATGTAGCTTTGGTGAGCATAAGAGACTTACTTAAAAAAAAAAACTTACCAACCCCAAATTTTTTAACTGTAGCATGATACTGCCACTGTACATTTTTATAAGGTTACTGAATTAGTGACAACTATTATACAGTGACATATCTATTACATAAGTACAGAATTAATACTCAAGCATGTACATGTGTTATTATTTCACAAATGTGATTTTAAATTTAAAGGAAAAGTACAATGAACTGTGGGCATAGAATTACAGTACCTTTTTTAAACACACACTATCACTATAGTATATTTTTAAGGGAATTGCCCTTTATTTAACATGATTCCTGTTGAAATTGAATGATATTTACATGTAATATGTGGAACAGGGTCACTGCGTGCTGTACTTCTCTTTATCAGGTCAAACAGATGTGTGCAAATGCAAAACAGATGATAAGATGGGGCATATTTTCTGCTGCTTTAGATTTGTGCTGAGTAGAAATTTGTTAGATGGGTTAGTTTTACATTCATCTAGTTAGTATGACGCCTCCGTCTGTTACATGAGAAGAGTGTCAGTCTGAGATTGACTATGCAACACTGCAACTAGTAAATTGATTTTATGGGCAGTGTGCCGTTATGCGCTGTGTGCAGTATATGTGAATGCCACGCACAAACACTGAGTGACTGACAGCCTTATAACAAGACTTGAAGCACAATTTCTGGTGTGAAAGTGAAGTGACATGTGGCCAAGTATGGTGATCCATCAGCCCTCTACGAACACCTTGGCAATTGAATCGCCATTGGCTAGTAAATATTTTTGTTTACTCGCCAGACTGATAAATATATACATACATACATACACACACATACATACATATAAATACACACATAAACATACACACATATACACATACACACACACACACAGTGTTGGGGAAAGTTACTTTTAAAAGTAATGCATTACAATATTGCGTTACTCCATAAAAAAGTAACTAATTACGTTACTTAGTTACTTTTTATGGAAAGTAATGTTACGTTACTTTTGCGTTTCTTTTTGAATCTGGACCAGACTTGCTTGTTTGTTTTTAAAATAAAAAAGTTATATTTTTGGCAAATATAAAAGCCTTTTCACACCAAAAGTGAAATGAATAAGCCTCAGGCTGAAGGGAAAGTAAATTGAAGTCCGTACAGTAGAATGCAGAAGAAGACTTCAGCAATAAAAAAAGACACACAAATGTTTGTCGAGAGTAATTTGTGCTTATTAGTACGGTTGAACTGGATCATCGAAGGTCAGAAGCAAAGAC